CATTTAAAAAAAAATCGGACGTCTGTAAGTAAACGTGCATTATTTAGTGTTCACTTGTTTGTTTGTTTTTTTCTCGTGAAAAACGAGTTGAAGGACCCATCATTTTAAAGGTAAGTCATTTTGGTCAGTGGAAAATAAGTATTTATGGTTAATTTTTGGGCTTTCACTATAACAATCTTTCAAAATAGCGAATGAATTGCCGCAGCCCCCTGAAGTTCGTTATACTGAGATTTCATTGTATGCGGTTACGTACCTGTTAGGTTCGGGGCTTAATTTGTACGTTCAAATCGAAGCTGCAAAATGCAAACAGACAGTAAACAGACTCTGCAAGTTTCCCGAGGGCTGTTTTTTTTTTTTTTTTTGTGAGTTCTTGCAGATCTGAAAGATTCGTAAAGCGCACCGCAGCCAGAACAGTCCTGCCCGATGCGCTTGTGTCAGGTGTGTCATCACAGCCGCAAATAGTCAGAAAAAGCGCAGTCTAAGTCACCGTTTCGTTCACTGCTTCTTTGGTGAATCATACTCACGCAAAAAACAAACACATTTTTCATGACAAAGTGACACCTTTAGTTCAGGCAAGTATAACGAAATTTTTTTCATGCGACTATGACTTCTGCAGTTGTATCAACTATGGCAGCCATCAAAAATTCTTTGCATATCTTCGCATATGGCTATGCTATCCAAAACAATAATGTGCATTGAGGTAAACGTGCTCGCTATGCCTCCACATAAGGCTTATTCCAATATATGCAGTGTGTCACATTACAGTGACAAATGCTTGACAGAGGTAATCGTTTGTACTGCTTAAGCCACTCGAAAACATAACCAATAAACTGGCATCAAAGGCAAGTTCTCGGGTTCTGCACCTGTGGCGAGCTGGAGCAGGAAAAAAAAAAAAAAAACACCTAGCCAATCTTTCTTGTGCCTTCCCGCACAAATAAATATGACAGCTCATCGATACATTGTTGTTTCTTTGCACGATGACAAACAGTGCACATAACAGTGAAAACAGAGCAGCAACTGCCGTAAGCATGGCAGCTTTTGCCTACCACGCAAGTCTAAATAGCCAATGACAGGGCCATGGCATTTTCGGGGTGTATGTCCAGTGGAATTAGTCTATACCATGAATACACCTTTCTAGGGATAATCTGCACAGCTGCAAAGCCCCACTTCAAGGTTAAATGAACATATTACCTTCCCCTTGATTCTTCCTTCTTTAAGGTCAAAAGCTTGTTATGCCCGCTTACGTTGTCTATTAAATTCTTAATGTCACATACAGGTGATCCCGAATATATCGAACACGAAAGGGATCATGAAATAGTTCGATATATAAATAATTTGAAATACAAAATACGCTTATCTAAGGCCTAAATAAAGCATTTCAGGCCTCAGAATCCGGGCCTCAGAATTCATTACAAGCACTAACAGTGATTCGCTCACAGTATAATGAAGAACAAAGTGTGAACTGCAAGTTACCACACTTTATTTTGCATGATAATAGTCCGCAAGCTTGTCTTTCTTCTTGCATGTCGTCGAGTTCCAGTCTTTTCAAATAAGCGAATTCAGCTCTTTCGGCCACAACAGCGTTGATTGACGAAGAACGCCGATGCAAGCTTTGTACCGTGGCAAAATGTTGGTTAACGGTGATCAGAAGCAGCAATGTCATCTGCACCGATGAAGTCGCTCTCTGTCAGAGATGGTGCTTAGAAACACTGACAAGTCTCGGAATTCACTTTGGCACCGCACGCCGTTGTCGGCCATTTTGACACACCCGAAGTCTTCACCTGGCCCGCAAAAAAAGTTTACGATGGTGCTTTGCTTGACGTCGTTATTAGTGGCAGTCGTGATTTTTATAGCTAAGTGCAGGTTAACTTTCAGTTCAACTTCCGAATGACGATTTACCAGGAACGAGGTGAGAAGTACACAAGGCACAACAAAAAACAACGCAGAGTTTCATGGCGGAAGGAATATAACGAGTTCCCACTGTCGACATGTAGGCAATGTAGATGCCACTTGTTGCTTTGTAGTTGGCAGCCGCTCATTTCAGCTGCTTTGATGTGAAAAGCTACAGAAAGCGTAGCCTCTGAGACATGCATTTTAATACCAATAACACTGAAATATGTTGCGACGTTGCACTTCGCGACGTTGCACGAAGGCCATGCTTTTCAGGCTCGTATGTTCATCGTATCTTACTGTGTGCTAAGGAACAATTTAGGGAATGTGAACATTGCAATGAGAGTGCAGAGTCACTCTGCATTTTCATGTTGGTGTCCTCGGTAATCAGTCATTTTGTAAAACGTTAGGACCTGCAGATAGCGCATCAAACATACTGGTGCACTCGCAAGCACCACGCAACAAACCAGATCAGCGCAATAGAATTGCACTGCTTTTTCGTCACCTGCGCACGAAAAGGGATCCGAACTTGTTAGAACGCAGCCGAAAATCGATCAATATATGCTTGGAAAAATGCGCTTTCTGGGCTTTGGCGTAGCGCAGCATTTGATGCATCAAATGTCCTGCTGTGCAAGTTTGATATACTGGTGCACCGGTCTATACATTTGCATGGGGAATTCAAGGGGATTTCTCAACTGTTCAATATAGCCAATAATCTGATATATTCTAGTTTAATATATCCGGGATCGACTGTATTTTACAAGTAATCGCTCGCATTTTACTGGTGCTGTTCAAAGTTCTTCTAGTTCCTCTGAACAAAAAGGAATGAGATCTGCCTATGGTTTGTTTTAATTAAAAAATATATTGCACAGCTTAGTTGGGTAATGGCGAATATGCTCATTTCTCATAATGATATGTTATATATAGGCTATTTGAATTGGATTTAAAAATATTTGAACCAAATCACTATTCGCTTTTTATTCGCTTCAAACCTAAAATTTACTATTCACACAAGCTCAATCCTTTGCACAATGTGATGGTGCCTTAGTCCTGCGGTAATGCAATTTCCATCGCTAAATTGTCGTTTTCATTTTTTTTTCTGGCCCCTGCCATTTTTGTAGAGCCAAGAAAACAAGCAAGCTTGTTAATCTATGGCTTCTGTAAACACAGCAGCACTCGTCAGTGTCCTAAGTGTCAATTGACATCATCTTGGTCCCACTTTGCCAATACAGAAGCTCTTGCTTAGTCTAATTCACTGAGAAATGGAGAATGGAATTACTGAACCGTGCAGAAAAATCGCAAATACTTTACTGTTGTAGCGTCTGGACACAAATCTTGTAAAGATACAAAATGCTGTTGGCAACATGCAAGTGCGATAGCATAGAAACCTGCAGCCCGCACACCTAATGACCATCACTTGATAGATTAGTGGAGATAATACACACTGTGGCACCTTTTTGTTCTGCACACGAGGTAATGCCTTTATGCTTGTGATGTTGTTCTAATATCTCTTTTTACAAGGTACTCATACCAGAAAGCAGACACCTCTTTGTAGTATGCTGCCATGTGTGGATGTCTTTCTACTGAGTGTTCTTCAGACCAAATAACTTGAATGCTCAGTGGTCTGGGGTATCAGTCTCTCCATTAAGACAGCTACAGGGATGGCATTCGTAAAGCTTGAACATTCTCAAATTTTTCTGATAGTGGCAGCTTTTGCTGCACCATTTTTAAAAAAAGTTCCTTACTGCTCTTTTGTTAAGGAATCTAACCTCCTACACCTTTCTTTTTTAACACAGCAGCCCGATGCGCAAACAATCGGGCCACCACCACATGCATGTTTTATGTGTGTTAATGCCAGCAATACTTCCTTGCCCCATATTGTTGATGGTATAGCACTGCCATCTAGAAGTGCTGCTGCAAAGCAATGCATCATGATACAAATGAACGCTGGCCCTTTGCACTGGCAGGCCATAGGCAATCTTAGCTTACACCATACTTCATCCACTGCAGTGAAGCATAGAGGGGAAGCCATGGTGTACAAGTGAGACATTGACATCTGGTGAAGGGAGTAGAGAGGCTGCAATAGTGGACACACACACTGAGATGAGAGAGAGAGAGAGAGGGTATTAGAGATGGTGGTCTCTCATTTCACATGCATTCTGCTACCTGCTTAGATGTAGGCAGCCACATGGGCACTTCCATATGTGCCTCCCAGGGTAGTTCTTGTACCTGAAATGAGTGTGCCGAAAGTTAGCTTGCTTCTTTCATCTTTATTATGCTATTTGCATTCAAAGGTGCATTACACTGTTCACCAACTCGGGAACTAAATAAAACATGATAAATTGACAAAGGAGAGTAAAACGAGCGTTGCACATGACAAAAATAACTATGTACGATAAGCAGAGTTTTGCATTATGTAGATTTCAACAGAGCATGTTAGATCTGCTGTCATGCTTTTTTTGTTTTCCATTGCTCTTATTGAAAAGAACTCAGCCTCTGTAAAGTGGTACAGTGTGATTTAATCAGAACTTATACACCAGCCCTGCTTTTCAAGTATGCCTTGCTGAAATCTTGGAGTTATGCTATTATACATGCTGCTTTTATTGCATGGCCTTTTACACCAAGAATGTTTTTTTTTTTTAGTTATGAGTACCCAGGAAAGACACTTCCAGCGCTTTTTGACCTCATGCCAAAAAACACGATCATTCATAATCATCATTCTTTTCTAATCTGCGCTTTATAAAAAAGCACAGATTGTCATAACAGGGCCACTATGTTTTATGTGTGTTTAACCAAGTGATTTTCGTCAATATTTATTTCTTTGGTCTTTTGTTCTAACTGGAACACTGTAGAACCTTGTTCATATATTCCAGTTTCTTGCCCTGTGGCAATGTTTGTGGTACCGTTGTAAAGATGAGCTGTGCGATTTTAGTGAATTTGGATTCTACGTTTTCTTGGAGAGCATGTTTTCCACCCTTTCCAGCACATATGTATGAACGAGGTTCTACTATAATAAACTCATTTTAGTGTTGATTCTCATTTCTGTGGCATTGTGATTCAGTGCACTTTGGCTACACATAAATGAGTTTGAGTGGTGTTTTTTTATGCAGTCTTCATCAAAACGAAAAGTGTCTGCAACATCTGAGGCAGCTGGAGCACGTAAATCAACTCGAAAAACGTCCTTTGTTGTTGGTGAAGGCTCCAGGACTTCCTCGTTGGCTCAAGAATACAATCATTATGTTGAAGCAGCTGTCCAAGGTTTCACGAGCAGGCTAGACATTGAGGTAATGTGGCTGTCCTTGTAACATTTTACAGTAAAACTTTGGTGATATGAATCTGGCTGGTTATAAAAAATATTCATATCCGAAATTTGTATCACTAGAAGACTAAAAATCAGTACGTGACAACAGAAAGCTAGCATACATTTTCATTTGTTTCATAGGGCTCATGAACAGCTCTGAATGATTACCAGTAAAGTTTCTAGATGTATACGAGCATACTTGCGCTTAGAAACAGATGCGTAGCTACCCGCGACAGCTAGTAGCCTGTTACTAATCTTGCTACGCTTTACCACATGAAACAAGAGCACTGTGGCAAAAGGTACCTAAGGAGTGCTTTGCACACTGTAGGTGAAGACCAGAAAATTTTAGAACCGCTTTTATTGTTACTGGCTAATCACGGTGGTGTGGTGGTTATTTGCTCGAAATGAGTCTTCCGTGCAAATTGCTGGGCAGGTGTGCGCCTTGCGAACAGACGTGCATGTTGGCGTTGCGAGGCCTAGCTCCTGCGCTAAGATTGTTCCTTTTTCGGTCCTCGTCCACTTTTCGTAGAATGGTGCATTGCGAAGACATGGCTTGCATCGATGTGGCAAGCTTCTGTAAGCACAGTACGTTGCTGCCTGAAGCACAGCATGTGTCGAAGTATCCTGAAAGGTAGGGGAGAATGGTAATGGGAATGTCATCTGTAATCTAAACTAAGGCACATGAAAGTGTATTACAGCCTCCAAAAGTTGCTTGCCATTTGTAATATAAACCACAAGGCACACAAAAGCACATTATAGTCTCCAAGAGTCGCTTGCACAATCTTGGAGGATACCATGTGCTGCTGATGGCCGATGCTGACAAACTGGCGCCGCACTGAAAACCCCCGCACACGCGCTCTCGCGGCCACGCGTGATTGATATGTCTTCCTTAGAAGCACAGGCAGCGCCTGTTTGATTGAGCCTGCGTGGTAGCATACGTTCGTGTCAAACGTCACAAGGTGAAAAACTATTCACAACATCCGTGCACCATTACATTGCAGGCTAATAGGCCTTGGCCGGGACCAGAAAAACTTCGTAGCACCCCAAAAATTTGTACGAGCAGTGGTCACATCACTGAGGCTCCAGTGTATATACATACTACTCTGCAATACAAAGGGCTCTGTTGTACAGGGGAAGGCAGCTATCATGCAAGCTTTGTTGCTTATGTCCCGCCTTAATGTCTGCTGCTCTTGTCGCATCACAACCATTTCACCACACTGTCATTGCTCAGACATGCTGCTGTAAATTTTTTAATCAACCAGCTCTCTGAGGTGGTGTAGTAATTACTGTGTTTGGCTGCTGACCTGAAGTTGACTGGTTCAATCCTGGCTGCAGCAGTTGTATTTTGATGTAAGAGAAATGCTAGAGTCCTATGTACTGTGGAATGTCGGTGCACAATAAAGAACACCAGATCGTCGAAATTTCCAGACCCCTCTACTGTGGCGCCCCTCATAATCATATCATAATTTTGGGATGTGATACCCTAGATAGTGCTTTTGCTACTAAATAAGTTCATGTTTCAAAGGGCTTACTTCAGGGGGACTAACTTCCAATTGTAAACTCTTGATTTATTTCCAGGCATGAATGGCTAGGTCTTCTTTTTTTTTTTTTTGCATTCATCACATTTAATCAATAGGAATACCCATAAACTTTTAATAGGGTGCCAATACCAAACAATATCTATTTGCTGTACATTTACCTCTGCTTGATGGTTCAGGTTCCCAAGATCTCTCGGGCCCTCCACTACGGCATGCCTCATAATCATGTCAGTGTTTTGGCACTTAAAATCTTGGCAATTGTTATCAGATTCTCCTAGTATTTGTATCAAGCCATCCCCAGCTATATCTAATAGGGCAGTATTATCTACAAGCTGCAGGCATAGCAGAAAACAGCACTGGGTAACCTTCATACATATTGCCTTATTCCTTCCTTAAGTGTTTTTATTGCCCCGTTACGCTCTTAAGTAATGTTCAGTGCAAGCCAAACCTGCAGTGTTCGAGAAGCTTCAGGACTGTAGTAGATCATTTTGTTCAGATTACACGCCCTAGGCCAACATTACAGATTATTCTGGAAATTACGTGGCCGTCAGCGATAACGCTGCAATATTCGACGGCTTATGTATACTGTACTTACGCGCTTAATTTGCACCCTCGCATAATTTGCACTCCCTCACCCGCTCAAGCCAGCTCACCGGCGGGCGCTCCTTTGGACATTTCGATGCTTCGGCCGGGTGCGCGTCTCGCCGAGCGAACGAGCGCAGTCAAACAGGCTGCGAGTGCAAAGTCTCTTCTTCTGAGGACGTCCCCCGAACTAGGGTCCCTGAAATACCACACCCGGACACGAACCTGTGGACGGGTCGCCGGAACTGTTTGAGTGTCAGCCTCCCCCTATCTCGCAATCTCCACCACCGTGATAATGGCGAGAATCCATGCTCGCGTTACAGCACGGACGACTTTCTGCATCGGAGGCATGCAAGAGCCTGTCGCGCCAACTATTCGACTCGTTCCCTGCGTCCGCGCTGCAACGCACACTTGGTCGATTTCGGAAGTTTAGGTTTCGCAATCCGGCCGATGTGTTCTGGCGGTTCCCTAGCAATGTACTACAGTAATTATATATACGGGGAAATTGAAGCTCGCTGTTCTAAATTTAGCCGAAGAAAACGGGAACCGTGCCGCGGCAAAGCACTTCAAGGGTCTATGAGGGGGCGATTTGGGCTTGTTGGTATGGTAGCATGCTAATATATGGTAGGATAGACAAAGGACATGGAGAAGAGAAGGCACATAGCGCTGTGTTGTCTTGAATGTGCCTTCTCTTGTCCATGTCCTTTGTCTGCGCTACCATATATTAGCACTTCAAGGGGACGTACTTTAACGTGATCGGTTCGGGAGAAAGCAGAAGAGTGCGCGCTTGCTTAATTCAAGCTTCCCATCATTAAAGGAGGCATTTACAATTATGTGCGGATGCTTAGTTCTTCCGGTATCGCCATGTCACGGGACCTAGTTTCTCCCAGCATTGTTGAAAGAACTTCAAGAAAATGGAGCGCTCGAACATGTTTGACGGAACCGAAGACGATGTGCTTTGGGAGGGCGGTGACAGCGGCTGTGACGATGGTTCCCAATCAAACTTCAGAATAAGTGATTCCCGCTAGACCGCGCGGGACCAGATCTGACTGATTAAAGTTTGCGCAAATTTTTTTTTAATTTACCAAGTACACTTGGTTTGTGCTCCAATTTATTTCTTCTTTTTTTTAATGTTTATACTGTGCGCATTCGTACTCTGACAATTTTTCATATGCTTGCGCAATTCCTGCCTAATTTGCACACTCCTTTTTCGGGGCCCCAAAATCGTGAAAAAATTGTGCACAAATTATGGGAGTAAGCACGGTAAATGCCAATGCGCTTCTCAGTTGATCGACGAACGACGCTCAGTTGGCCGCTCTCAGTGCCAGTGTGTATCTCTGTAATCTGACTTTTTGTTCATTGGCCGCAAGTTCGGCCGAATAAACAATGTGATCTTCGAACTACAGTCCTCTCTCTTCTTCGACGTCACGACCCCATGACAATATTGCGAGTTTCTATGAATTGAATGAGCACTGGATACATTTATGCTTTAACCAGAAATAAATGTGAGGATAAAGTAATAGAACAATAATAATAGAATAAACATCTTTGAGGCATGGCTACAGTTCAAGAATACATATAAAGTATGTAGTGCCATAGAAAAATGGGGGCAAAGCAAGTGGTTTTTGACACACAGTGTGCCTAGTTTAGTACAGTAAATGCTCGTTAATTCAAACACAGTTAATTTGAACTGACCACCTAGTCCCAGCACAGCCCTGTGCATTTCTATAAGGAAAACATTTTTTATGATTCGAACGCATAGGTATCCACAATGGTTAATTCGTACTGTGATCCCCTGGTTTTCATCGCTGCTCACAGAAGCTGGCCTCGAGTGACAATGCGTTGCAAACCAAACCAAATTTGCTAGAGATGCAAAACAATGAAAAGGCAGTATTTCTCGGCACGTATGAGATTTCGGAGACTGCGCTGGAGCTCTTGGGCAAGCTGCAAATGATGCTCATGGGGTTGTGATAGAATCGCAAGCAAATATGAATTACTGATTACTTTTAATTTTGATTTTGTCATCTCTGACATGTAAATATGTTTTGGAGCATAAATAGGGCCACACACGTTTATTGCCGTACATTTTGACATTAACAGCTCACTGCCTACATGAGTGCATGTCGGCGCTTATTTCTGGCGTATCACTGACGGAACAATCAAATTATGTCCGCTGTTAGACCTCCATGAACCTAACTTACAAAATTACCCGCCACAAATAAAATAGCACCTAAGTATGGACAACAAGTCCAGAGGTGACTACTTTGGGTTTTTACCGCACACTAGCGTGATGTCCGTTCATTCTAGTGTCATCCTGCTAATTCAAACTCGGTTTAATTCGAACAATTCTATAGCTCCCTTCGAGTTTGAATTAACAAGCTTTTACTGTGTCCAAAAATTCCTAAAACCTTCCAGACTACCACACTCGTTAAGAATGAAAGTTTTATATACGGAGGCTCTTGTAAGTTCACAAGTCAGGGAGCTAGGATGAGTCCATTCTGTGTGTGCTTGTGGTAATGCTCAAAATGACATTGGTTTTGGTATTTTTCTTCATTTTCATGTTGCAGGATGAGGACATGATTCGAAACATGGTCACTCTGAAAGAGTTTCAGCCAGGTGAATACTTGAGCAAGGAGGATTCAGGCGAGCCAGCTTCCTTATTCTTCATTCTTTCGGGATATGTGGCTGTCTCCCAAAAGACATCTGCCAAGGACACTGATGTGCGTACTTATCAGCTCAATAAACCCTCTTCATTGTGTATTGAAGTACAGTTACTCTATCTACTTGCATTAATAATGCAAGTTTGAGCTATTTATGGGAAAGCAGTTTTGAAGTGCATTAGGAAAAGCAAAAATTAAGGAAGACTGTAATAATTATTGAAATGTTATGTAACTGAGGTCTGTAGTAAATATTTGCAATCACAACAGTTCAACCTTATTCAGCTCTTTTATTAAGGAGAAGTTAAGAACATACCATCCAGGAAAATATACAACCTGATGTTATCAAGAATACAGTCAATGACCTCATTTCCGGGCATTGCTTGATGATTCGGATGCCTGTGTGGCATCGCCCCCATGAAGCCAGCGTGTAAGGATGAAGAAAATTTCGCACTCAAATTCTTCAGCATCCAATTTTTCGGACTTTCTGCTCGGGTTAAATACCAAAAACGACATAATTTAGACGCAAAATGGCATAATTTCTAGAGGCAAGACAGTAAAGGACATCACCACAACTCTCCCATTGATTATCTTGCAGCCTTGAATGAATGCTTGTGTACTCCAATCTATTTGTAGTCGTAGGTGTTCCGAAAAATCAGCTTCAGGGCAATGCAAAGGTGTGACGCACTTACTGACTACTGTACCATTATTCATGCACTGAAACATTCCGAGAATTGGATGGGGCTTCTGTAGTGGGACAGTGTCTGTGTGTCATACAGCCACTCACCTATCGTGGCCTGTCATTGAAACCTCATTAAAATGTGCCTGTTTCAAAAATACAAGCTGTTATGACGAAGTCTCGGCTCAGTCCCTTAAGGGCTTATTGAATTTACGAAGTGTCGGTAACTAGAAATAAATGTTTTTTTCGTGTTGATAGATGGCCCTTTCGTAATACTGAAACCTCATTACAACAAAGTTGCATCATTCATGAAAACAAGTTTGTTATGCCCAAAAATTTATTATAAAGGTTTATTCCTAATACTGTATCTACTGTGTGATTACAGTGAAATCTCATTATAATGAACTTCGGGGAGCCGTGGCAATTAGTTCGTTATTTTGAAAGGTCATTAAAGTGACAGCCCAAAAATTAACCATAAATGCTTTTTTTTCGACCGACCAAAATGACTTATACCTGTGTCACACGGGCGCGCAAAAAGTCTTTTAAGTTAGCGGTCTTTTTACGAAGTTGAAAGACTTTTAACAAAGAGGTGTTGCGGCGCAGACACACGGCAGCAACAATCTCCTTTTAGTGTTTTCGTTTGAAGACGCCAGCGAAAGCGTGGCGCTAGCAGTTAAAAGGGAAGCAATGAAAATTAAACGATGTATCACAATGTACAAATCAAAGACTTGTTGCACTGCTCGTTTCTTCAAATAAGTTTAAGAATAAGAGATGAAGAAACACCAATGTGAAAGTTTGTTGCACTAGTTAAGGAAGCATTCCCATAACTAGCGACATGCACAAGTCTGTCTGGCACCACTGGGCTTTTATTTACCGTATTTGTTTTTCGCTGCTATCGACTGCTCTCAACACATTATGGCCGACCGTACGGAAGAAAAAGCGAGGATCGCAAGCCTCACGGCCTGCCTTCTCGCTCTGGAAAGCGAGGCAGACGCTGCAAAAGCCGCCAAGGAGAGTATCAAGCAGCAACTGCTGTTCAGCAATTCCTTGCTGTGCGCACTGGAGCTGTCGGAGAAGGCCTGCGATCGATCGATCTGGGCCTTCAGACGAAACGAGAGGTGGTTCGAGGGAACTGTACCTCACCTCAGTGAGCAGAACTTCAAGCAATCTTTTTGAGTGTACCCGTCCACCTTTCGTTTCATTGTGGAGAGCTTGCGCAGTGAGCTCGAAAGACAGTGCACCAGCATGCGTGAAACCATCACTCCTGAGAAGCGAGTCGGCATTGCCCTATACAAGCTTGACCACATGAATGACGGGCAAACACACGACTGCCACGCTTTCCTCGCTTGTGCAAAATGGCGCAGCACGAGACCGAGCGTCACCACGTGATATTGCCGACGCGTTATAGCTGCTTACGAGAGTAGAAAAGGGAATAACCATTAAAAGAGTTCATTACATCTTCTGCAGGATATGAAATTTGTTTTTACAAAGAGTTTTGGTGACAGAAAAATAAGCATTCGCTCTTTTTTTCCCGCCACTCGAAAATTACTGGCGCCCACTGGTTTCAAGGCTACTCATTCGGAGCCGTAAAAGAGATCGACGAACTCCATTTACGAAAAAGACCGCTTCTGAAAAGGAGTTCGCTCTGTGCCGTTTGTCTGCTGTCAGGAACTTCTTTTCGGAAAAAGACCGCTTACTTAAAAGACTTTTAAGTGCCCGTGTGACTGGGGTATTACGTTTACAACGGTGAGTCCTTCAACTCTTTTTTCACGAGAGAAAACAAATTCACAAATGAACATCAAAAAATGCACGTTTATTTAAAGAAGTCCGTTTTTTTTTTTTAACGCATGCAGCACAAACTTTGCAGCACGAAGGCCTCCAGCTCATCCACATTCTTGTGGTGCGATTTGGCTGCTTTGGCGTTTTTCGCTAGGAAAATGCGTGCTTTTCGCATGATATCTATCATATCTGCGGCCATCACGACCTCGTCAAGGTCTTCAGGTTGCGATGAGGTCGTACCTTCATTATCTGCGGCATTGTTCACACCATCATCACTGCCTTCATCTTGAATGGTTTGAAGGATGTCTTCTGTCGTATCATCTGCTGATGTTGTGGTTCCTTCATCGCACAGCACATAATTGTCGAATGCCTTCATCACACAGCACATAATTGTCAAATGAGACCAAATCCATGGTCAACAGATTGGTTCTTTGTCGCAAGCAGAGATGAACTCATTGTAGTAGCACCGCAGCACGAATGCCGACTTGCTTTGCGGACACGATAATTAATCACCAAAAATAGATGAACACGACTGACAAGGCCTCCTGAAGGGAGTGACATGTCCATAGAGCCAATGGGGATGAAAATTGGACGCGATGAAAGTGCCGTCTGAATTCTGGCAGCAGTTGTACAAAGATTGGAAAATTATTATCTTACAAATAACTGAAAAAGTTTTTATTATCTTCTACACTGAAATAGCTTTCTTGAACAAATAATAACTAAAAATGTTTGTATAATTTATAACTGCATATAAAACAAAATAGCTTTCAAAGCACCTGGACGTTTCGATAAGGCGGCTGGCCGTTCGCATAGCAGACAGTAGCGTCGTCGTCTGCTTCTGCGTCATGGCTGACCCGTGCTTGTCGAGCAGCTCCCTCTCTCAATTTTTCTCATTTCCATATATTGCAATGCAGTGAACTACTTACAAGAAGCTCACAAGTGTCTTGCATATTTACTTCAGTAAGTGAGTGATACCACATACAGGCCGAGCGAAACGACAGTGCTGATCACGCAAACTTGCAGCAATAAATTGTTTTCTGGTGAGTCAATTGATGTTTATATAAAAAGCAGATCGGAACGTGCACCACATTTTTTGCACACAAATGATGCACGAAGCGTACTCGCAGGTACGGATGCACACGAATAAGCATCTCGTTTGTTACTTCGCTGTGTCTGAAATGCACGCTCTTTTCGCAAACGGAGACTGCAATGGTTGCAGTGACCTTTGTGCACCCGGTAACTACAGCAGAATCGTACCAGGTAAAGCCCGAGGCCAGCCAAGACCTAATATCCTCCCCTCCTCACCACGGTGATATAAGGGTGCGCGGGGGAGCGTTGCTCTCCATTTTTAACCCGACCAAAGTACACGAAGAAGATTAGAGCGAGCTCTGCCGTGCGATGTGGCGCCGCGCGCACATTTCGCCATCTTGCTGGTAATACTGAAAACACAATTCCCCTCGAGATGCTCGTGAGCAGCAGTAAGGGGTAGATATAAATAGCTTGCCGTTTGAATGGTGAAGGACGTGCTTCGAAGTGGCTCAGTAGTTAAGGCCTCGCTTTCACGACGCAAAGGTCCCACATTCGATTTCGCACGCCAGAGTGTTTTTCTGGGTTTTCTTTTTTTCTTGTATTTTCATATATATAGATACATCTACATATATACAGATACGTATACATATATAGCGAGTGACGGCGACGTCGATGTCAACGTCAATGCTGGGCCGAGAGTATTCATATAATTGCTATCGCAATAAAGTAAACGCCACGTAAGTAACGTTTTAGCATGTACAGCGGGGAACAATATACATGCATCACATAGTGGGTATATACGTACTACGCATAGCCCCAACGCAGATGCCCGGAGCACAGTAGCTGTTCAGCGATTACTGATATATCCATCGCACTCGACGAAAACTTCACTGCAGTAAGTGTCCGCTAACGTTATAGGTACACCTCTAACGTTCCTTTACATCTGTAGCTGAAGATGTTGTAACACTTCGTCGACAGTATTCAGCAAACTTTCTGTAAATAATATCAGCGTGCCCGCCCGCCTTTCATAAGTAGTGCGGTCCGACTGTTTGTTTTCGGGTTTGCGCTGCCAGCAAAAATGGGTCACTTTCCAATCTTCCACGCTTTCGCACTATTCATGCTTACAAATGCCTAAAATAAATCAGAAGCAGTTTTTTATGCGTACTATTTTGAAGTCTGACAAATCAAACCGCCAAAAAAACGGCTTATGTGGCACTTCATTTGCTGCCGCCGCCAGTGCGCTGCCGTCATTTCGATGGTGGCGACGCCTCACGGCGCGGCCGCGAAGCTTACAACATGCCACTGGCCTGGCCTCCTAGAACACATTTAGAAATGACAAAGATAAGAAAAACCCGAAGCGTTGCGGCTGTCATCGCCTCTTCCAAAGAAAAGAAAGAGCTAAAGAAAATTTCTCGCGTTTCGTTTTCTGCTCTCTCGCTGTCTCTGGTTTTCCGCACCCATGCTTCCTGCACTGCAACTCCCACTCTGCCTCGCCACCTTGCCCTCCCGTGTTGCCCTCGCCCCTCGCCTCAGCACTTGTAAACCTGCAGCGTCAACGTTTCAACAAAAAGAAAGAAAGGAAAGTCGTCTTTTCGTTTTCCCCTCCGCACCTTCGCACGTGTTCTGAGAAGCAAGGCGTCTATTCACTGCATCGCCTGCTTGCGTACCGCTCCGATGGTCGCTACGGATTTCAGAACATGAGTTCGCTGTACTGAGGCGTTGTTAATATGATGTGGAACTAAATTAGCGCTTGTTATTCTGAAAAGTTCGGTATTCTGAAGGACGAGGTAGTGAAACGATTTTACATTGAAACTATTAGCAGTTGGCACGCGATTTTCAAAAAGTTACCGTATTTACTCGCATAATCCTCGCACCTTTTTTTGCCGGAAAACCGATGCAAAGTTGGGGGGTGCGAGAATTACGCGGGGAAAACTTTCCACGAAAACGTACAGAGCGAAAAAGAAAACGAAGTGGCCGGGAATCGGGATTCTCACACCAGCAACCAACAGCAAGCTTTAAAAAGTACTAATTAAAACTTGCCTCAAAAATAAAGGCAGAGATTCAACACAAGACAAGATTTATTTGAGACACAAAAAGTGAAAGCAATTAGTCGAGAGGTAGAATACTATGCGCAAAGCTTGTGAACATTGCGGGCGTAGCGGTAGCGTTCGTCGCTCAAACGGAGCCCTCAAAAGGTAAGCTTAGGACGTCAGTATTGGGCTGATGGCTATTTAAGAAAATCGTCCGCAGTTTCCTTCTGAAGAAATAAAGTTTACCATCAATCCCAGTTTTAGGCACACGGCAGGCCCAAGGCGTGTTGGTGGCTTTCAGCTGCCATCACCAGTAGCAAACACAAAGCTCGTAGACTCCAAAGGGCCCACCGGCGGCCCTGTTGCCGTTGTTTAGTGCATCATCTATCACTTGCAACTTGAAAGGAGCCGTGTAGCTTCAGTATCGCCTCATAACGTGACAAGATTACCGACACAACATACAAAACACGCCGCAACGCGCACTGGCTACTTTGGCTTGGCTTGGATTGAATCTCTGTGCAATAGTACGATTGATGGTTAAGAGATGGCGCCAGACAGCGCACGCTATCATCAGTGGCTGGAACGAGCCGACGACATTATTGCCGCAGTTTTGGGGTGCGATAATTACAAGAGGAAAAAAATAGATCGTATTTTTATTGGGCAATGTGGGGGGGTGCGAGAGTTATGCAAGTGTGAGGATTATGCGAGTAAATACGGTAATTCATATGAAAAGTTCGTTTAGGTGGCATTCATTCTACTAAGATTTTACTGTACATTTTATTTATTTCGTTATATCAGGGTTCAATATACAGTTGAACCTGCTTATGACGAACCTGTATATAAACGATTCCTCGATATAACGAAGTTTTTCTATTTCCCGTCGTTGCTCCATAAAAGTTCATGTATTTGTAAACGCTATGTAACTAAGTAACAGCATGAGACAACCTTAATACAACAAATTTTTCCCACGAGCAATCTTGGAATTTCGCCCCGGATTTTGGCATTTTGGTACAAGCATGCATCTTCCGCGGGTGCCCTGCCGACGAAGTACGAAGGGGCGTTGGCGCACAAGCACACTAGGCGAGAGCGAGCGCTCTTTATTGCACGCGGGTCAGCGCCAGCAGGTGTTGCTGCCATTCTTGCCGTCGTGGGAGCATGCTTAGATGTACCCCCCCCCCCCCCAAAAAAAAAAAAAAAGAAAATACTTTTTGCATTGGCAGTGCCACGCTTTCAGTTAGTGTCACACATGTACGGCCGCACTGCATATAGATGTCTCTTTACCAATTAGCTTTCCATGGTATCAGTGTCCGTGTCCATGTCGTTCGCTCTTTGTTTTCAATGCCATACGTGCCTGCATGGTTTTATTGCACGCGCATAGTGTGGCCTCCGACGACGTTCAGCTTTGCTTTTTTTTTTTTAAATGCGTATAACTGCATCTTCACCACTGAGGGGATGTCAGATTAGGTGCTGATGAAAACTCCGAGACCACGGGGAAGACAGATCTTCGGAGGTGAAGTCGTCACGCACTTCCGTCTTGCGCTCGTAGGTTTGTAGCTTTGGCGATTTGCTGATTGGTTCTGACAACAACAGGACGGTGCGTTGAATGTAATGCGATGAACGAAAAATTGTAATCTTATACGCAGTAAAGCTGGCTGCCAACTCTTTAGATCCAATATCACGGAACTCCTACAAAATGCTAATGTAAGCAAATACGATTGCTCCAGGGAGAAGTGCTCTTTTCACACAGTTCCTTCGTGTTGAAAGTTCACAGCTGATAATTGCCGAAATAGCACGCGTGCCAGCAATCGCGACTGTCCTTAAAATTGGAGTTCATTGTTGCTGCTCGAGCGACCCCCTGCCGCGTTTTTTCATGCTTGTTTAAGACGAGTGGTTTCCTTTTTGTTTGAGCATTCGACGTTCTAACATGCTCGGGATGTTATCTTACGCATTTTCCAGGCGATAGAGATGCGCCGGCTCATTTGATCTGAGCTTCAGCAGTGCTTGCGTGCTTATACCCGCTTGAGAAAGTTGCAATGCGCGGGGGCATGTTATCAATTTAGACTAGTTACGGGACATAGCTAGGACAGCAAAAACCTACCGAGAGTGTTCATACAATTGCTGTTGCAATAGTAACGCAGTTTTTTACCCTTAAATAAGCGTTTTGGTTTAGCTCTTCCTGCAGATCCCCTTTTGCTTGATTTGTGCTTTTATTTTTCAAATTCATGTATCGAACTTCCATATAAGGAATTTTTCCAGGAATTTATCAATTTCGTTATATCCACGTTTCACTATGGAGGTTTGAATGTGCCTGAAGCACCACTTTTGCTGTGAGAATGTGCTGGTAAACGAGAAAACTCTCAAAAGGAAAACACACCTGGCAATGTTACATGGAGGTTTCAGCACCAACTCGCAATGATGCCATAAATTTAGACATCCACATTTTCACAGCAATACAGGTTTGCAGTGCTTAGATTCTATAAACACACTAATCAATGTTTGTTAAAGCATGGTTGATGGTATTGTCAGTAGCAAACAATTGTTTCATCTCAATCCTGCTTAAAGTGGGTTTGGCTGTTTGAAAAGAAAAAAGAAAACCTCCTCATATAAGTTCAGGTACTGTGAGCATGAATTCTTAACATGAGCAGTTTTGAAACTACCCTAATGTATTGTTTTTTAGTAGGTTTACATGAACTTTCAAGGGTCAGTTGAGACTTCAAAATTTATGCTAGGGACTTGTCTATGCTTAGAAAACTGGACACAGCAATTACCTAGTTCACTTGCATATGTTAGTGTATAACAGTCATTCTGATCAATTACCTTGCATCTTTCATGTCATGCTCACGAAACATAGTGGTTTAAGAGAGACCTGAGAAAGGGCACCCATACTTTACAGGACCTGCTGTACATTGCTCATGTGGGCGATATCACTGGCGCCCTGGAGGTGCTGACAGGCGAGTCGCCCATCTTTAGCCGCAAAGCCAAGGTGGCATCGCGTGTGGCCTTTCTGACATCCACCCAGTGCTATGAGTAAGTGAAGTTTCACTATCCACGTGACGTAGTGTAAAGTAGGTGTATCTTTTCCTATCATTAGTTTATAGGGTGTTTGCAGGAACTGCAGTAAGCTTATGTTTAGGTGAATTTGTACAGACCTTGAACATTTATTTTTATTAAAAGTTTGTGCTTGAAGAAAAAAAAAAGAGTAAGCTTTTGAATTAATAAAAGAGGTACTCCTACTTGATGAGCCAGAACAAAGGATGACACAAAATATGAGGGATTACAATTCTTGTTACCCTTTAACTGCCAATATAACTCCCAGAAAATGTACAGAAATGTTCAATTTTCTTCATAGGTTTTTTTATGCAATTCTGATTCTGAAAATAATAAAACATGCATACGAGGCATGAAATGCTATTTTTATTTGACAACTACTGCCATCTAGGGTTGAAATTGCAAGCAAAGCAACTACAGTGATATGTCTTCGGTGGTGGAATGAGCACAAAATTGGGCTGTATGAGTGTGGTGCATCATCAGCGATATTGATACAAACTTGTGTGATGAGTTCAGCTTGGGGATGTCTACTAAGGGGTTCAAGTTTACAAACCAGATTGCCTCTGCATAGACTTTGATAACATGTACTCATGCACAGTTAACGATTTGTTAGTAAAGAGAGACTTAAAGTCTATTCTGAAGGAATTATATGATGAACTAAAGAGTTTTTTAAACTTTTTTATACCTTAACAGCCTGAACATGAGAAAACGAACATATACATATGTGAAGTCAAAATGACATATTAGTACGAGAATTCAAGTAAGAAATAAAAAAAGCAATGAGGGTATGACGATAATTGTCTTTAAATGCTGAATAATTTATTACTGCAAGGTTTTTAAATATAGTTGTATATTCAGTGTGTCTTTTGCAGAAGTGATCCAAATAACTCCATTTCTATTTCTGGAACACCAAAATATGTACTCATGTTTACTTATGTACATGATGTGGCATCAAAACTAAAAGCCAGACATGAGAAGAGACATTTGTGAGGTTTGCAAAAGAGGCTAAATCGTTACTTGAAGAGGCCCTGAAGAACTTTTTCAAGTAATCATTGAATGACTAGGGGGCAGGAAGTGACATCCGTTCAGCAGCGCATGTTACGACCTTGAGCACTTCATTTATACATTTTTTTCTTGAATCAGTGGCTTACTATAACTGCGATGACGCGTGGGCATGTAGTGACATCTCGTGATGGTCGTGGTAACTATGCAGCTTAAGATGCTCAAATTGGTCTTTGGCCATGGTCTTTGGGTTTGAAACGCAGTCATTTCGTTTTATGCCATCATTTGTCGAGAGAAAAGTGAGTTATTTCTAGCTGGCTTTGAGGATTTGTGAATTCCAGGCGGCACGTTGTACTACGTTTGGCTCACATGTTCTCAAGAGTCTCTACTGCTGATCAGCATTGTTATGTTACTGTGCTGAAAAAGTACTGCAGAGCCCCTTTGACGCTATTTAGCGATTGTCTATTGCTTGTACTTCAATTTTATGCTCTGTCAGAGTAGCTTGCTTTTCACCTAGCTTAATCAAAGATTCGTTAGTGCCCTGATATTCTTCAAGAACACATATACACAAAATTTTAATTTGTGAGGTTGGTCTTGTGATAAAGTAAAAGATTTTATGGTCAAAATTACTTTTAGTTTGAATAAAAACATGTCTCGCATCCCTGGGCAAATTCAGCCCATTCTTCAGGGATAACTGTCTGGCAGGGCACAAGAAATAGCATTCTTTAGGTTTTTTGTCTTCTTTACTATTGTTCTTTCCACTGTCACTACGGTCTTTGTGTTGTATTTTTCACTGATTTTGAAGGGCATGTACACATACACATGGCAGCATCCTCATAGACCTTGCAAAAATAGGTTCGCAAAAAGCTTGCGCAACAAGCATGACCCGAAAGGGATGCGATGTACTCCACTGCGACTGCGCACAAAGTAGCCGCAATTGGGTTCGACCCTTCAGCAAAGTTCAGAAAAGGCACTCAAGCCTGGTTGTCAACAAGCAAAGGTCTATGAACCCACAATGCAGCACAATGCGTCCATCACAGGATTGCAAGCCGTGCACGGTAACTGCAAAACCGATCAAGTACGCTTGCTAACTGCTCTACGGCTCGCACAAAATGGAGCTGTTGAGTGCACGGACTAGAAGCCGCCTGGCTAAGCAGGTCATGAGCCTCTTGTGCTGGTGTGAAAGTATGTGCTGTGCTGAGCAAGCACCAGACAGAAGCGAGCTTATGTGTAGAGAGAGCCCACTGGCGGCCAATGAGGACAGGCATAGCACACTGACATGTGTTAGTTGGCCGTGAGACAGCTGGCACTTCATCGAGGAGAAAGCAGCATGGCTTGGGCGGGGAACAAAGCCCAGTGCTTATGTACACGGCCTTTATGTTGCTGTTTCAGGGGGATGCAGGTCCTAGAATAGTGAAAATTGGCCAAAAAGTCGATTTTTAGAAAATCGCATTTCTTGAAATTTTATATCCGTAAGCACGTGTTCTCAAATTGTGAATGCCGAATTCGATCAGTAAATGGGTTAAAGTTGGCTATAATGTCGCCACGGTAGTCACGAAAACTCCCCGCGAAAGGTAAAATTTGTTCGAACTTCGCACGCACGCCGCCGGCAAAGCAGTCAGCCTATCGCCACCATCTTGACCTCGTTTTGAAGCTGATTTCTTTGTGTGCGTTTTGCCACCGTTCAAAATGGCGTCGCATGCATGGAATGGCTGCCCTTGCCCCTTTTCCAATGCCTGCTTCCCGACCACTTATTGGCCAAAGCGCGCGCACGCCAGGCGAGTCCCCAGTCTCTCGCTTCCCATTGGCTGCCTGGGTGGTTTTTTTCTGTGTGTTGTTTGTCGACAGCCGGCTCCTGCTTCCCACTCGTGCTATGCGACCATTGCAACAACTCCCCGTTTTTTGCCAGTATGACTGGAGGTGCTCGTCTATAAACGATGCACCAAGCGTACAGCAATAAACGAAGGCGTCCGTGGAAAGCCGACAATGTGTGGCTGAGTTCGCCCGATACGGCTGAAGCGGTGCACTCCGACGACGGCGCTCAGTCGCGGGCGCCTGTTGTGTCCGAAACGGTGCACTCTCCGGAGCCCAGCTGCAGCACCTCTTCAGATTATCACGTCGTCGGATCATCTGACTTTTCTAGTAACATACAGGACCGCATTGACATGGCGTTTTATTCTGTGGACGAGTCTGCAGAGTGCGCCAAGAATGCGGGGGGCTTGAAGGCATCCCTCGCATCGCAGTGTGCAATGGAACGCAAGTTCAAGCTTCTAGATGTTGATCTGGAGGATGACGGCAAAGAAAATAAGACAGAATTTAGAATTGTTACCTGGCGGTGATCGACTCGCTATTTCGACTTGTCGCCTGCCTTGAGTGCAGTGAAAAAAGCGTGACTTTCTCGAAGGCCAAGAAAGAGTATGGGCTGTGTTCGAAGCTTGTCGTCATGTGCAGCAGTTGGGACTTTCACGAAGAGCGGTTTTCGTCCCCACGTGTAGCTGACGGGACCGACGCCAAAATAAGGCCATTCGAAGTGAATTTGCGTGCGATGAATGCCCTCGACACGGGGGCAATGGCCCAGTCTGGCTGTAGAACGCTCATCATGGCAGTGACAATTTCTTGTAAAATAAATATAGATTGTTTACAACCTGAACATTGTGTAGGTGTGTTGTATATGCCAGGGCAACATGATTATTCCATTTCTGTGCATTGCTTTCACTTGAAACTCAATAGACTGACCACAAAGTAAAAAAAAAAAAATTATCCTGCTGTGTGGATGACCATTTCATAGTCTTGGAGGAAGCTGTCGCCATTATTCTAGGAGGGTACAGTCATACATCTAGCATGGTCATTATCGTAAAACATAAAGCTACAAAACAGTGTCAGTAATATTGCCGTAGCTTTACTTTAGGAAAAGTTACAGTTGCTGGAAACTTCAAATGTGTTTTTCTCGGTTCGTTGTTTTAGCACATTTCGTTCGGCCTTACGGGGGTTTTCCTATCTTATATTTGAGTGAGAGTGACAAAGTTGGTATCATTCTATTCGTCTTAAAATTATCCAGGTGGTCATGCTATTTTCATATCTCTAGAACCACATTGCGAATGGTAATTAAAGATAATTATCAGAGGAAATTAGAGTAAAATTTTCATCATAAGTGTTTCTACATTTTCTTGCCTAAAAATGCCTTCAAGTGGAAACGAATAGCTTCACCTCCTACAGCAACTCTTCAGCATTGAGGTTATGCATTTACTTTTTCGTTTTCGCACGGTGAAATTGTGAAAAAGTCTCGTAAAAAATAAGCAATCAATCGAAATTCATACCTAATATTTTCTGAACCACTTGATCTATTAAGAAACAAATTACAGATTTGAAATCAGCATGGAAAACTACTTTAGACAGTGAAGTTTAGCGGAGATTGAGCCAGAAATAAAAGAGTTTTTAGAGCCCACGTCCCCGTTTAACGGCCGTTAGCAGAGCTCGAGTCGCGCGAAGCTGTCATAACGTTCTAGCTGGCGATCAAGGCCCAAAGGCAAAGGTACTCTTGATTGCCTCAACTTATTGATGTTCCCCAGCATTATTTTTATGTGCCACAATTCTAAGTATAGTTTTTTATATGACTAACTGTGGTTTAAACATAAATTTAAGGGCTCGTTTTTTTTTTTTTTTGACACAACAATAACGATAACTAAGAGAGAATGAGACATCTCCTATATGTTAAGTATAAGAGATGTCATTAGAAGTAATTTAAAGTAAATGTGAGGAAAAAAAAAGTCGACGAAAAGATAACTTGCCACTGGCAGGATCGGAGCCTGCAACCTTCGAATAACTCGTCCGAGCTTGTAATACGAGCACATGCTATTGTATGTGGTGCCAACAGGCAAAGTGTTCTACACTGACCGCAATAGCGATGGGCAGTGCTGACTGACATTGACATGTTTAAATGCCTATAACGTATTTACTTGCATAATAAGCACACTTTT